TTTCCAAATGCCAAGATTCCTTAATACAGTTCCTCGTGTTGGGGTGACCCCCAACCATAACATTATTTTTGTTGCTACTTCAGAACTGTAATTTTGCTACTGTTATGAATCACAATGTAAATATATGTAGGATGTATTTTTATTCACTGGACCAAATTTGGCACAAATACCCGATTCTCTCCAATTTGAATACTGGCGGGGGATAGATTTTGTCATTTGGGAGTTGTAGTTTCTGGGATTTATAGTTCACCTACAATCAAAGAGCATTCTGAACTCCACCAACAATAGAATTGAACCAAACTTGGCACACAGAACTCCCATGACCAACAGAAAATACTGGTTTGGTTGGCATTGACTTTGTGTTTGGAGTTGTAGTTTACCTACATACAGAGAGCACTGTGCACTCAAACAATGATACATCTGGACCAAGCTTGGCACAAATACTCAATTTGCCTAAATGTGAACATTGGTGGAGTTTGGGAAAAATATACCTTGACACTTGGGAGTTGTAGTTGCTGGGATTTATAGTTCACCTACAATCAAAGAGCATTCTGAACCCCCACCAGTGATTGAATTGGGCCACAATTCCCACACAGAACCCCCATGCCTTGAAGGGACTCTCTGGAGTGAACCTTCCCTCTGTCTCGCATGCTCTCCCTTGCCTGTACATGCGCACCACAGTGCCATGCGGTGAGCATGCCAGCTCTCCCCTCCCCACTTATAGTCTCAGAAAGAGCCCTCCGCTTGGCTGAGAGAGGAGGAGGGCTTTGGGTGGGAGGATTCGTGGTCTGTTTCCGAAAAGAAAGAGAAGACATGTAGAGAGTGTTCAGCCTTCTCTGCCAAAGTGGTTCCTAAGTAATATATGTTTTCTGATGGTCCTTGGTGACTCCTCTGAAACCCCCTTGTGACCCCCCTCAGGGGTCTCAACCCCCAGATTGAGAAATGCTGTTATTAAATGAAATGCTATTCATTTTTTTAAAGATTTACTAGTCCGTTCTTTTGTGGCATGGAATTATGAGAAAGCAAAGAGGTGGACTAGATGTCTCTCCAGTGCTCTCTCAGCTACAAAATAAATAAAAATGATACTGGGTTGTTGTAGGTTTTTTCGGGCTATATGGCCATAGTCACCTCACTACCTCTGAGGATGCTTGCCATAGATGCAGGCGAAATGTCAGGAGAGAATGCCTCTAGACCATGGCCATATAGCCCGAAAAAACTTACAACAACCAAGTGATTTCAGCCATGAAAGCCTTCGACAATACAAAAATGATACTGTGATAGTAACAGAAAAACAAAACATGTATAGAAAGGAGGAATAAAATAGTGCAATGGACAATAAAATCAATAGTAGATTAAAACATTAATAGAAGTGTTAATGCCTAGACATTTTTATTTATTTAGTCTTTGTATTAAAAATAGATTACAAGAGGAACCAGGTGAGCTTTACTATGGAGAGCATTTCAAAGGCAGAGTGCCATAATGGAGAAGACCTCGCTCAAGAAGGCATTGGCCTCAACTGAAGAAAAAACTTGTCTGAAATACTTCACAATCAATTGCACAACTCTTCTAAGGACCGAATGGGAAAGAAGTGGGGAAAGAATGTGGTTTTGCTCCAGTAACCAGACAGAAAAACTGTACTTCCATCTGTGAAATCAGCCTTGGCTGGTCTTTTGAAAGAAGAAATTGGGTTTTCACAAGTCGTGCTTAAAGTTTGCACAAAACTTAGGACCCTTCTCCATTCTGAAAATATGTTTGCTCCGTGAACACATATAAGCCACCACCATCACTTAAAAGATGTTGTATCTGTGCACATTTAGGTGCAGGGACTATTTTGATATCCTGTTTACAGACACGTGAGCAATAGCATAACTTCTATGTGGTGAATGAGAAACTATGAGCGGGGAGGGAAGTCAGTTGCATCCAAAGCTGAACTTTCAGCATTCCTATGACCGAATAAAGCAATGACCTTGCCAGACTTTATCACGTCAAAACCTAAACTATTTATTTAGAGAACTGGTCCTTAGCATGCAACAATTCCTTCCTCAGCTCCGCCAAGGTCAGATTGTTATTTTTCTATGCCCATAACACATAATGTAGAAGTTAGCATCTCTGAATAAGCTTACTTGACTATCTTTCTCCATTTAGGTCACCTTTAAAAAAGCAGTGCCCAAAAGGTTCAGCTGTTCCAGGCAAAAAGTAAACCCATTCAATACATGGAATTGGAAAAAAAATCTGCTGTGTCTTGCAAAGACAATGCAAATAGTTATGCTGGTCCTTTAATTGGGACATTTCCTTCTCCCTACTTGCCTTGTACTACCGACTTGATCAAAAGACCCTTGAGGCCCCTGCAGCGTGTAAAGAGTTTCAAAACACCCACAGAAACCATGTGATTTCCTGGTTGCTGCTGGCTCAACGGGAAAATGAGAAGCCGACACTGCACTTCGATCTCCATTCTTGCAAAAAAATGTCTTTTACTGTCTTTTGAAAATGACTAGAAAAGCTTTGAACAAATCAGAGCTTGAACATGTTATTTGTAAAGAGAACAGCTCCCAGTTGGCATGGATAATGACACGAGCAGACAGAAGGAGAACCATGCATGATCAGAATGGGAATTCACTACTTTAATCTTTTGCACAGTGGCTACTCAGTACCTTTATGAAGCAGACCGTAAAGAAACTAAAGGAAGTTGAAGTTCCCAGAAGCTGATATTCAGAAGTCTACTTTTACTGCATTTGGAGGTTCCATTATCAGGACTGCTGATGAACCTCTCCTTTCATACAGTGTCATACAGGGAGCATACCACCCCCCCGCTATGTCAGCTCCACTGGCTGCTGATCCAGTTCCGAGCACAATTCAAAGTACTGCTTTTGACCTACAAAACCCTTTACGGCTCCGGCCCAGCGTACCTGTCCGAACGTATCTCCTTCTACGTCCCACCTCGGAGTTTAAGATCTGCTAGGGAGGCCCTGCTCTTGGCCCCACCTTTATCACAACCGAGACTGGTGGGGACGAGGGATAGGGCCTTCTCGGTGGTGGCCCTTCGCCTGTGGAATGCACTCCCAGGGGAGATTAGGTCATCAACATCCCTCCTTGCTTTCAGAAGGAAGCTAAAAACCTGGTTGTGGGACCAGGACTTCGGGTAAGCTGGCAGATGGACAAAGACAACCAATGACGACCAGAGTAGGAAAGGATAATGACGATGCTAGATGGATTACGGACTATGAATTGGCGAACATTGACCACAGAATGATTCTATTGCAGCTAGTATACTGTTGATTGTTTTAATTAGTTATATTTGTTGACATTATATGGTAAATTTGTGTATTGTTTATTGTATATTGTACTGTATTTTATGAATTGCTAGGCATCGAATTGTGCCTTTTGTAAGCCACCCTGAGTCCCCCCTAGGGGGTTGAGAAGGGAGGGGTAGAAGCACTCCAAATAAATAAATAAATAAATTTCTTAGCCACATCCCTCAACTACCCTCAAGCACTACCAAGCATCTATATCAGGCATGGGCAAACTTCGCCCTCCAAGTGCTTTGGACTTCAACTCCCACAGTTCCTAACAGCCTACCGGCTGTTTGCCTATGCCTGATCTAAAATTATATCATGTAAAGTTGGAGCAAAGTTGCTTTCTGCTGCTTTAGATATTAAGATCAAAACCAATGGACTCAAATTCTAGCTACGAGTTACAGTGACTAACTCATAGGAGAGAATGCCTCTAGAACATGGCCATATAGCCCGAAAAAACCAACAACAACCCAGTGATTCTGGCCATGAAAACCTTCGACAATAAATCTTTTTCCCAATATGAAAAACCCAGATTTTCCCATCATAATATAAAAAAGCCAATTTCTTTTCTTTATCCCAATTTTTTTAAATAAGTATAATTTTAATGTAATTTGCTTTAAAAAGAAATTAAGTTTGGGTTTTTTTGGGATGTTATCTCTTGTTTTTAATGTCTTCCTATAAATAAAATCATGTGTCTATTTGGTAATTTCAGTCCATTTCACAGTCTCATCTCCATTAACTGAATGGTAGTTAAGAAGCCCAGTTGTTTACAGAAATGAGTAACTAAGATAGCGACACATTTCATTTCTGACATCTACAAAAACTTTGTTTCATTCATATAAAACATCTATGTATTTCATGTTTAAACTTGGACCCCTTCTCCAAGATATTCATTATGTATGAAATGCAAATTGAAACACAGCTAACTGTATTCCAGAATCTGAAATCCCAAACTTGTGTGGTTCCACATACTTTGAATAAGTGATACTCTACCTATACTTAATATAGAATAGAAATAGACTAACAATATAAATGATGAAAAATAGAAACCATTAAAGTAAAGGTAAAGGTAAAGGTTTTCCCTGACATTAAGTCTAGTCGTGTCTGACTCTGGGGGGTGGTGCTCATCTCCATTGGTTTTATTTTGTTGTAATATGTTGTCTGGGCTTGGCCTCATGTAAGCTGCCCCGAGTCTCCATTGGGGAGATAGTGGTGGGGTACAAATAAAGATTATAATAATAATAATTATTATTACTATTATTATTATTATTTCTAAGCTGAAGAGCCGGTGTTGTCCGTAGACGCCCCAAAGTCATGTGGCCAGCATGACTGCATGGAGTGCCATTACCTTCCCATAGAAGCAGTACCTATTGATCTATTCACATTTGCATATTTTCGAATTTCTAGGTTGGCAGAAGCTAGGCCTAATAGTGGGAGCTCACCCCGCTCCCTGGATTCGAACCGCCGACCTTTTGGTCAGCAAGTTCAGCAGCTCAACGATTTAACCTGCTGCGCTACCAGTACAACACACAAATATGGTTGAGCCAAACATTTTCCAAACTCTGTCATTATCATTAATCTATTAATAGCTTTCCTGTGACAGCAGGTCCTATAACCACAAAGTGGACACTACAACTGATTAGGGCATTTTTTGAAAAACTTGCAATTTTAGTTATTCATTTTGCATTAGCTCCATATGAAACTCACCATGAGAAGCTCTCATTTGTCGCTTGCATCCAACTCTATCCAGACCGATTGGTGTGCTTTGCGAAAAGGCGAAGGGACGGAATCTGGCCGAGACAGCCTTGTAAGGAGGGACCTGATGTGCTGGTACCGGAGGGCGGGCAACTGGCTACAAAGGAAAGTTTTTAAAAATTACTGTAAAATCATACTGGATGTGTCCTAAAATCAAGCCAAGGAAGAAGTGATGTTATTTATTTAGGCAAGAAAGTATTTGAGGCACTGCAATACAGTAAATCGATAGTAAGGCTCCGTATAAGATCCATCATCCTATGTATGATAGCTTTCTCTGTGAACCAAATCTTATGCACTTAGCATCCTTCATGCACAGGGAGAGAAATGTTAACATCTTAGAAAAACCCAAAGTGTGTGGAAATAAAAATAAAAAGGTGGAAGAGGAAACCTAAGAGGAATTCCACAAAGTCCCAACTCAATCCCAAATAGAAGTATTTTCAATTGATACAGAATGGTTGTTGAGCATCTTTTGGTCCTGCAAACACAAGATCATTGCTTTCTTTATTAAATCTATCTACTGGGTTCTTTTCCCCCACCTTCTTTCAACTCTTCTAAGCACCAGTTAGGAAGTCATGTTGTCTAATGGTGACAACTAATGACAACTAGTGACATTAGTCCCAAACTAATGAGAACTACAAAAGCAGATCTGGATAATCAATTTTACCTTCATTCAGACTTCACTTTACTACAAGATTTTCAACCCATAACTCACTTCCTTTCAAAGTGATTAATAAGTTGCTTTTGCACAAAATACAACCTTTGGAAATGTATTTCCACCCTATTTTTTTGCAGCAGTAATAGTCATAGCAGCAAGAATATACCTACCTTCAAACTGCCCAGTATCTTTTAACATGTCTCTAGATTTCAAGCAAAGCATACTTATTTATATTCAGTAAGGGCAAGATTTTAAAGGCACCAATACAAACAGCAGACTTACTTAGTGCTCATTTATAAGTATAGAAAATGTGGAGTGGGAACAGGAAGGTGCAGAATTCCGCTCCCTTAAATATATATATGGTGCATTGCAGAAAATCTGGATTCAGGAAAAAAAGAAAACTTCCCATCTTGCTGGGAAGCTCGAAGTCATAAAATAACACAATTAACATAGATGAAACAAGTATAGATATTTCTCCATTTCAGGCTCTCTTTAACTATAAACTGGAGATAACTGCAATCTAAAAGCATCACAAAACAAAAGAGTTGACAGCAAAGTGTAAATTTCAGGATCTCATGCAGCAATCCTGCCAAAGCCAAATCTGTGCTAATTTTTGTGAATTAAATGTCAAGCCTTCTTGTGTGCAAACAGTTTTTTTAAAGCATGTACACATAAAAATATTCCTGGTAAAAATATGAGCTGCATAACCCTATACAGAATTGTAAAAAGGATGGGAAATAGAAAGATAACCATTCATACAGTGGTAGTCATCCTCAAAATTAAGATATAATAAATCATTCAGCATGATGTTCAGAGCCAAATTTGATGTTTACCAAGTCTAACCAAGCTCAATGTTGTATCATCAGTAAATTAACAGACTTTTCTTGATTCTACTGCCCATTATTCTATGTTTTTGTGCAAATGCTAAAATTAGTGCCTGTTAAGTTCTTGGTGCTATGAGATACCTTCAAAGATTTAAGAAACTCAACATGTTACAACTAACCACATACAACAATAATTTGCAACCCAAAAGCATACATTTATTTATTTTTAATTTCAAAATATCAAAGAAAATGTTAGTGTACAATGCAAAGCAGTAATCATCCACAATATTAAGTTAATCTGATTTCATGCTTTTAGGAGAGAAGAGGATTTGATGATGATTTAGGAGAAGTAGAAGGAAGGAAAAGGAGTGTCCACTATTTTCTAACTTGGAGGTTACAGGCAAAGAAGGAGGATGATTTGAGTTTCAGAGAGTGCATTTTATGTCTTACTTGTGTAAGGAGATCTGTTATTTCTTCTGTTTGCTTGTTGGCATAAAAACTGACCCCACCAATGACCGAGATGGGTCTTCTTTTGCGTCCTCTTTGGTTGGCTACTGTAGAAGTCAATGGGTCATTGGGAGGTGATCTTGACTCACTCCCATCATCCACACAGTCCACTTCTGGAGTCTCCACAGGGACAGAATCTTCTGGTATTGAGAAACTCCTAATTGCCAACTGGCCGAAATCTGAAAGGGGTCGAGGCCGCGATCTCTTTCCGGAACCCCATCTTCTAGTTGTGACTTTTTGAGCATCCGTTCTTTCTTCATCTTGTAATGGGGGATTCTTCTTCCAGTGATCATCAGTAACAACCTTTTTTAAATGTGAATAAGTCAAATAAGCCAAAGCACTTCAAAAAAAGTTAAATTACATCCTTCAAATGGTGTAAGGATATTGTTTTCCTGCATGGAGGGAAGGAGTTAAATAGCTATCAAACACCCATAAATTGGATTGTTAACCATATGAAACAAACCACAGCAAGACAAATTAATATATTAGTTTAGGAGCAAATGAAAGGCACATTTCAGAACAATAGGGAGATAAGGTGGGTTATACATAAAGTTTTATATTATTATTATTATCGCTATTATTATTATTATTAATGTCAATAACATAAGCAAAATATTTTAAAGGGGGATCTTTATTCATTTCAAATAATTTACTTGCTGTGTTCTTTGAGAAAAACAGTAGTATTATTATTATTAGTAGTAGTAGTAGTAGTAGAAGAAGAAGAAGAAGGTATTTTAAAAATTACACACTAGCACATAAATATCAAAATAATAATATTCTAGCTGTGTTTCAGAAATCTGGTCTTTACTACAACAACAACAATTTTTATTGATTAGCCAGTTGGCCTTATCAAAAACAGACAGTGCAAACACAACATACAACTTACAACATACGCCTGGTCCTATTAAAATAGAATACAAATATATAGTCTTTACTAGAAAAGCAAAAAGTGTGACATAGTATAGAATGCAGAGGATTGTTCGCACAAGATGCTTTAGCATTCAGATCACCACGTTAAGGGGAAAGGGAATTCAAGTCTTCCTGGATAATTTAAATTCTCTTAATCTCTTACAAGCAAAATATATATGTATCAAGGGAGAAATATTTTAGTAATGATCCAAAAGCACTACCTGTTTATACAACAGACTATAATGCAGGAACATGACCGTCAAACATACTGCTCCCTTTGTATTGCTATGTATCACTCATATAAAAATAAGTATTAAACTTACAAATAATTTGTAATACCTGAAATTGTATTACCTACAATGCTTTTATTTCTATAAGACATACAATATACTGACGGGCTAGGACTTCGAGGTGTGTCCCACAAAGTCAATTTGTTAAAACTTTTTTATGTTGGGTGCTAAAGACGATTTTTGTTCCACCCACAATAACTGACCTTTGCTACTTTCAACAAGATAAACACTCCAAGAGATACAGCATGCCCACGTGCTAAACTGGCATTATAACAAATAGCAGGAAAGCTACATGGTATTACATCACTTTTTATATGTGGTTATTACCATGTACTTCTTTTTTTAATTGCTCTGGAAGAAAGCCATGATACTTACATCATTAACAATAGCATTACTAACCTACTTTTTGGACCTAGTAGCCTTATTAAACCTTAGGATGCAGTCCACAAAACAAATACAGTACAATCCCATATCTGCTGGGATATGTTCCAGGCCTCCACCCACCCAAAGATACCTAGAATTAGAGATAATAGCAAACTATAGTTTTGACTATACTTGGGGAAGAAACATACTAGAGGAACTACAGAGGTCCATAAAGACTTCTGGGGGGAGGGGTGATTTTTATTTGAACGTGTTAAGGGAAATTGTGGATATTGTGCTCATAGATAAGGGGGTCATATTGTAAGTAAGCTGAACCAAACACAATGGGACATACTTTTGGGTACACAAACATAGGATTGTACTGCTAAACCATTTTCTCATGTTTCTTTGACAAGAGATTTGCTGAAGACATCATTTCAGACACAAAAAACAAGTTTCCCTTTGCTGTATAAGCTCATTAAGCTTTAGGATACAACCCCAATACAAATACAGTATGGTCTCCATATCCACTGGGTCATTTGTAGCTCTGCCTAATGAGAAAACAGAAGTTGTACAATGGGGAACACCAACACAAAGCATTCCCAAAAGCATGTTATGCTTTCAGCTTGTGAAAGGTGTAAAGCAAGAACAGTAGCCTGCTGGACATCATCTTCTCAAAGCTTACTTCTCCTTGCAAGAACTACAAATATCATTACATAATGGAAACAGCAATATCCTGAGTGTGCCCACAAGATTCATATGATACATATCATCCTCATCATCATCATCATCCTCATCATCATCATTGTAGGCAAAAGGCAACTTTGAAAAAGTTGAATTATATAGATTTTAAGAGGAGATTGATACTGCAATGCCATCTACTTATTAATATCTTATATTTAAAATATCTACCTTAAATATATCGGTGTCACCTTAGACCAAACACTAACATTTAGGAAACACTGTGCAAACACCAAGTACAAAGTAGCTGCATGCAATAACATCCTACGGAAACTTACTAACAGTGTATGGGGTGCAAATCCAAGATTAATAATAACATCAGCACTGGCCTTGTCTTACTCAACTGCGGAGTATGCCTGTCCCGTCTGGCATAAATCTGCCCACGGAAAGCAGGAAAATATCACACTAAATGAGATATGTAGAATAATCACAGGATGTCTCAAGCCTACACTTACTGAGACTCTAAACTAGATGGCATCCCCCCCCCCCCCCCCCCCCCCCCCCCCGCTCCCCAATGTGTATGGGAAGTTACTGCTAATTGCGAGAGAAATAAGGTTGAACACTGTGAAAGCCACCCACTATATGGCTATCAGCCTCTTCCCAATAGACCTAAATCAAGGAAAAGTTTCATGAGAACCACCACTTCTCTAAATGTTCCTCCAGCAACAGCAAGAATATCTCTGTGGGCAGCAAAATCTGGCAATTCCAACTGGATGGCCCCCCTACAAGGGTCTTCCTCCAGGGACAAACCAAGAATGGGCAACTTGGAAGTCCCTGAACAGACTCAGAAGAGAAGCTGGCAGATCAAAAAACAACCTGGCAATATGGCCCTACCTAGAAGAATCCTCCACCTTGTGTGATTGTGGAGCAGAACGAAAAACTCAGCATCTATATGCTTGCCCACAATGCCCTGCCTCATGCACAGAGGAAGAATGGTTTAAAGCTGCCCATTTTTGGTCTAAAACTATCTAGCAGCATGTGATCCCTTTCTTTTATCAGTTTTAACTAAACTATTTTATCAATTTTAGATAAACTATTTTATGCAATGCTTTTGACACGAAATAAATAAATCTATTTATTCATAACACAAACAGGCTTTCCTGACACAGGTACTTTCCTTCGGAAAGAGAAGGAACTTCATTTGTTTATTCTCACAATTAAAAGTGTATAAGGACACTTTTTTTAAAAAACCAAAACCCCTGAAAATGGCATTAAGCCAAGACAAACAAAGTATGTGCATAGCTTGCCCTGTGGCCAGTAATTTGCAAAAGAAAGCATAAAGTAAAAGTTGGGAATCATTCCAACAACTAAAGTAACTACTGTTTCACAATTATGGCTTCATACTGTCATTATTGTTGTGAAGCAAGCCAGGTAAATAGCACACCATTACACCTTGTTCTCCTCCTTCACATAGTATTTAAAACTTTGATTATCCAAGCGTTCACTCAAAAATAGGAGTATTTTAATGAATCTACATTTTCTATGTAACCCACATCTAGTTGTGACATCATCATGCAAATATCTTCTCTATCAGACCATGGAATGTCACTTTTTAGAATAGTGGTTTGAGCATTAAACTAGACCTCAAGGTCACCATAAATCAGAAAAACGACTTAAAGGTACACAACAACAGAGTCGCAAAAATCATTGTACTGATCAGCCAACTTCTTGTTGCAGTCCAAAAGATAACCCAATTGTTTACTTGTTACTAACATGTTACAACAGAACCACAGAACAATAGAGTTAAAAGTGACCATATGAGCCATTTAATCCAACCCCCTGCCATGCAGGAAAAGCATAAAGTATCCTTGACAGATGGCCATCCAGCTTCTGCTTAAAAACCTCCAAAGAAGGAGCTTCCACCACACTCTGAGGCAGAGAGCTCCACTGTTGAACAGTGCCTACAATCAGGAAGTTCTTCCTAATGTTCAGGTGGAATCTCCTTTCCTGTATAATTTGAATCCATTTGTTTCGAGTCCTAGTTTCAAGGGCAGCAGAAAACAAGCCTGCTCCCTCTTCGTATGGCACCCTTTCACACATTTATACATGGCTATAATGTCTCCTCTCAACCTTCTCTTCTGCAGGCTAAACATACCCAGTTCTTTAAGATGCTCCTCATAGGACATGGTCCTTTGATCATTTTAGTCACCCCTCTATGGACACCTTACAGCTTGTCAAGATCTCTTTTGAACTGTGGTGCACAGAATGGGACAGAGGTGACCCTAATTCAGTTCTTCATCCTTCTGCATCCCCCCCCCCCCTATCTACTAGCATTTCAGAAGACCACAAAGAAGTAAGGAATGAGACCATCCTCTAAACATTCTTATACCTGGCACCAACTCAATCAATCCAAATGCATATCTTTGCTGTTGGAATGCAATGGCCAACCTGAAATTCAGCTCTACCCTACTCCCTCCCAAAAAAAAAGACACTTCTCCGTGCACTCCTAATAATTTATATCTTCGCTCTTATGGGCAAAGGGAAGGGAGGCAGAAAATACAGACCAATCCTTTACTTATTTATTGTAAAATTCCACTAATCCATGTCTCCAGAGTAGATCATGTTTAAGTAGTAGTAGTAGTAGCCCTCCTCCTCCTCTCTCTCTCTCTTTCACACACACACACTCCTTGTTGTTGACCTTCTGCTGATCATTAACAGTGCCACCTTCCACACTACCATGCCAATACATGGTATATCTACCCCTATAAGCCTTTTTTTCTCCCCTTCTCTTCGCTCAGATTAAATCAAAGCATAACGCTGTCCCATTATGTTACACTGAAAAGTAGTCAATTCCTGGCTTCACCAATCCAGGCAAAATGTAACATCATTCCAGTTTACCCAAAACATTAGCTGTCAAAGTATCTTTGCAAGTAACTCATTATTTTCATCCCATCCCAAGAATGTAAGCAAACAATAACAGAAACAAAATTATAATAATTCATGATAGGAAGTAATCTCTCAGATTGAGCCAGAACAATGTTTATGGCAATTGGCTACAATTCT